AAATAAATGCCGTTTAAGAGGCCCAAATAGATGATCGTCTGAAGGAATCAGAACTTAATAAAATATCTCAAACATACCGCTGGACCGATTATTTTCTATCAATTTGGCCGTTTGGTGGGTGACGTTACCGTGCAACCAGATGGCACCCTTATCCAAATATCCTATTTCCTTTCGACCAAAACTTTCACTGCTTTGACCATCTGACAACATGGCATGAAGTCCATGAGTGGGACACTTTCTTTATTCCAGAAAATAATTATTGTCAATTTTTTTGTTTACTGAAGAATTTAAATTTGAATGGCGTTCAGTGTCGATGGATGTTTACAACCTTAGTCTTTTTCTTCCTCTTCCTCTTCTTCTTCTTCCTCTTCTTCCTCTTCTTCTTGTGTCCATTGTATGTCTTTTTACTATCTCTCCTTCTTCTTCTTCTTCTTCTTCTTCTTCTTCTTCTTCTTCTTCTTCTTCTCTTCCTCCTCCTCCTCCTCCTCTTCTCCTCCTCCTCCTCTTCTTCTTCTTGCGTCCATTGTATGTCTTTTTACTATCTCTCCTTCTGCTTCTTCTCCTTCTTCTTCTTCTTCTTCTCTTCCTCCTCCTCCTCTTCTCCTCCTCCTCCTCCTCTTCTTCTTGCGTCCATTGTATGTATTTTTACTATTTCTCCCTCCTAAACCCTGTTCTGCCATCCATTTACGCAAATTCATTGGCTAGATCATGCGCGCTGTTTTCCTCTGACCTTCTTGCCAACTCTATGTCCTGTGAGTGTGATATTTTCTAAGCCGTTTTTCCTCATTATATCCTAGAAATTACAACTGTTTCTGATGTTAAGTATAAGTATCCTTTTCGTTTCCATGTTGTCTAAAACTTCGTCATTGCTCACATATTCATTTCATGCTATTCTCAACATCCTTCTGTGGAACCACATTTCTCTTTTGTTCTGTGATGAGATTTTCCAGCATTCAATGCCATATAAGAAGACTGATATTACATAAGATTTAAGTACCATTTTCTCTCAGTATCTCTCTATATTTCTGAGATGAGGTATTATGTACCACCCCAAGCAAGGAAACAAATTCCTTAAGACGCAAGGGGTTACTGAGTGTGAAAAAACACGAGTAAATGAAAATCAGACCTACCATTAAGATTTAATAGTTGTGTCATCAGAATTGATACCGAGTTGAGAACTGATGGAAGGTCGTTGATGAAAATTAGGAACAACGACCTTCACGATACCATCAATCTCAAGAGCTCTGTGGATAGCTGAATTAATGAAAAAAGATCTAGAAAAGTAGCCGTTGAGGACAATATTCATTTCGCAATTCGATAATAAAGCTTTCATCTAAAACCAACGTGCTAATCCCTGAAAACTTCTTCGAGATAATCGAGAGGATGATTATGAGGTATTTTCTGTGGGTGATAATTGCTCTTAACAAATAATAAAGCATTTTCTACTTGAAAAGAATCTCTATATAATGGCATATCCAGCAAATATTCCAAATCATAATTTGATTGAAAGTTAGTAATAATTAAAACTAAAAAAGCCCTTGAAAAATCTGCCAATCTGACCTGACAATCACGATTTGACAAAAAAAGTTCCAACTCACATGATAAAAAATATTGACTTTCATTAATAAAATCTGCCAAAGAATATAAGTCGAAATAAAAGCCCGAGAAGAAGCAACAAATGTGACTATTTTTATCAAAGAACCCATATTTTTATTTTATTTTATCTTAAAAACATATGCCCTAAATTTAAATAATTTCATATAATTTGAGATTTATTTCAGGGAACCTGAATGTACAACGATTAAACGCACATTTTCCAGGGGTGATAGATAGATAGATAGATAGATAGATAGATAGATAGATAGATAGATAGATAATGAGAAGACTGTGATAGATAGATAGATAGATAGATAGATAGATAGATAGATAGATAGATAGATAGATAATGAGAAGACTGCGTATTGTGAGACCGGAAACTACCTACACAATAGACTCTTCCAGGCCTATATTAAGTAGGCGACATAGCACTCTAGAGAGTGACAGAGAGTGACAGAGAGATAGAGAGACAGTGAGAGTCGCGTACGACTACCAGTATTGGACACTAACATATAGTAAGCTCTGCTTACATTATCTCTTTAACCTGTTGTTAATATATCTTTCTTACATCTAATCCGTGTTCCGTGTTTTCCTTCTGTGGTCCCAACTTTGGCCTCACATCACTGTGATAGATAGATAGATAGATAGATAGATAGATAGATAGATAGATAGATAGATAGATAGATAGATCCTAGATTTTATTATTAATTGATTGATAGATTTACAGATATAGATTTTAAAAAAAGAGTTGGAAGAATAGGAAAACACAAAGAGAATACAATTAAAGATATTCTTAATGGAAGAAAATTTAATTAATGCAATTAAAACAGAAAGGGACAGAGTGAGAAAACTGCAACTGCAGTCGTTGTCAATACGAAAAGAAAAGAAAAAGAGTCAAAAATACACTAAAAGTTTCTAACCGGTTATCGCTCCTCACTAGCCAGTACTCGGTCGAGGAAAATAAAATACAGACTGACTAAAAAGGGAAAACTTAGGGAAGAAAATACATACATATCAATAATATGACACGTGTATATCTATAAACCGATTACACTAAGTCATAATAACCAATCCTTTTATTTACATCAGGTTCGTTGTCGTGATTCATTATAAAATGTTTTGAAAGTTTTCAGTTGATATTTAGAATGTTGATCCCCACAAAAATGAGAACATATCCTTTACGGAACAATAAAACATGAACGGTTTAGCTCTTTTATTGCATTTGTTGTTTTCGGCTTTTTTTTTGTTCTTTTGTGTTTTTATTTTGCGTTTTGTTCTTTTTTTTTTCTCTCTTTTCTTTTTCTTTTGTATTGTCAACTTCGTTAGGGGGGAGTTTTCCTCTTGTCTCTTTTAATCTTGTCTGTTTTTATTCCATTATTTAGAATTACATTACATCAAACGGAAACAGATCTTATATATATATATATATATATATATAATATATATATATATATATATATAATCAGGTGTGACAGCAAAATTGTTAGATTAAGCTTTGAACCGTTGTATCTTAGAAATGATTAAAGATATGTTACTGGAATTCTCCGAGGTTTTTATAACACAATTGGACACTACTTTGAACAATAAGAATGTATTTGGTTCTAAGTTGAAATGATGACCCCTCTTCTTGTTGTGACCTCCTGACCCAGTTTTCCTCTCTACTGTTCCCGCTTTTTTAAAACTTATTCACCGTTCTCTTGATGGTTCTTGAATGGACTTTGAAGATGGAAGCCAGAGTATGAATATTCGTACCATTGCCTAAATGATCTTTATATATATATATATATATATATATATATATGTGTGTGTGTGTGTGTGTGTGTGTGTGTGTGTGTGTGTGTGTGTGGCAGCAAACTCTCTCTAATACATGTTTCGTGAAAAATGATTGACAGGGTCTTCTGTTAAACTCACCGACAATTGCCAAAAACCGTCTAAATATAATAGAACCTCTTACTCTTATCATATAAAAAACGACCCTTAACAATATCATCTATGAACACGGCCACAATGTATTGGCCATATTCTGAAATTAAGAAATTTACCCTTCAACAAATTACGCACTATATACAATAGAACAACCAAAATACTTGCAATTGCTAATAGATTAAACCGGAACGAACAATCATTTTCAATATATATATATATATATATATATATATATATATGCGCGCCTGTGTGTGTATGTGTGTATGTTTACATGCGTGCGCGTGCATGTGTGTGTGTGAAGGGAGAGAGAGGGTGAAGTCTAAAATATCAAAATGATGCAGTGGTTGAATAAAATATAATGTTACAAAACCAAAGAAAGTATCCTATCCAAATAAAATTTATATGAAAATGTTAAAACATCAGCGTCTATTCGAAGGGGTATATCCCGCCTGACCGTTGACTTCCTATTCTGCGTCGAAAGCGAAACGTCCGAATCGACACTTTCGGATTTTTCTAATGTTTTTCCACGCCCGGCGCCATTTTCTTTTCTCTTATTTATCTTGTTTTGTTTTCTCGCCACACCCTCAAATGGCGACGCACTAAAAGCTTTCTTGGCTAACTTGTTGGCAGCAGTCATACAACACTGACTTTGAGGCAGGCGTCCGAGATAAGAGAGTGTCTTCTTTCTTTCAGAAAAGTGGATCTTCCAGCGTCCTTTTAGTCAAATTGACTTCCCGTCCCTTTATTTTAAGTGATTCGATTCTTCCTGTCGAGTTTCTTCATTGCTTTCTTTTATTTTTCCACAAGTTAATTTTTGCTTCTTTTTATTTATCTGCTTACGGTCTTTGTGGTTTCCTTTCGTACATTATAACGTTCCTTTGCTGAGAAGCAAACAAACAAAAACAAAAATAATTGCCCAATTCTCTGATGGGTTTCTCGAGCTCCCAACAACAAAAAAAGTAAAAACATAAATAAATGAATGTGGAAAGGTTATACAACCAGTAGATATATGGAAATAGATAGATAGATAGATAGATAGATAGATAGATAGATAGATAGATAGATGTGAAGTAACATAGATAGATAGATAGATAGATAGATAGATAGATAGATAGATAGATAGATAGATATGAAGTAACATAGATAGATAGATAGATAGATAGATAGATAGATAGATAGATAGATGGATATGAAGTAACGTAGATAGATAGATACATAGATAGAAATGATGTAACATATATAGATAATGAAGTAACATAGATAGATAGATAGATAGATAGATAGATAGATAGATAGATAGATATGAAGTAACTAAGACATAGATAGATAGATAGATAGATAGATAGATAGATAGATAGATAGATAGATAGATATGAATTGACTACGTACATTCATATATGCATCCATCTATACTTAGGAGCAGGCTAGGCAAGAACTTTAGATAGAATGTAAAACTCCAACATTTAAAGCGGGAGACGATGAAAACACCCGACCTATACCGTAATAGAGAGATTGAAAAAATGCTTTAGAAATCTAATGAGCAATAACAACAAAATAAATAGAAAGAATTGATTTTCCTTTCTTATTTCTTTTCTAATCGTGATAATCGCCAAGGCAGCACTCTTCCCGAAAAAGGTTACTATTTCAAACGGCCTTTACACTTTAACCGACGCCTGTCAACTTCTTTCGCGTTAGCATTTTAAGCCACTTACCAATTCAGAATGTGCTCATCCCGGCCCACAGTCGCCAAAGAAACCGACTGGGACAGGCCGTGAAAGAAACACGAGAAAATATTGTCTAATATTTACACATTTTCATGCTTATCAAGTTTCTTTTGTTCGGTCAAACCTTCTCGATTGTAAATACGCAGTGGGACTTTTCTGCCTTTGTAGAGGGCGTCGGCTATTTTCACTGTAGTTGTTTTGCTCACCTAACAAAGAGAAGTTTTCTCAAAATACGTATGCAGGTGGTGCAGTGTTTAACGAATCCAAACGAGAACATGATGAGCTGAGTTCGAATTCCTCTCAAGTTCACTGCATTCACTTTCACGCAAGTACACTTGGGAAAGATGTGAATCTATGTCTTCTCCCTTCAGATTATGTGTTGAAAAGCAGAAAAGACTGTTCCTTGAGATTTATTTGGCTACCCATCTGAGAACAACTTTGAATTCAAAAAATGAAGAGAGCTGTTTGAAGATTTCGTGTCACACTGTATTCAGTTACTCCGAAACTCCCACCAGCTATGGGTTAAATAATAAGGCGGACCAATCTACGAGACAAACTCAAATCTGGTCTCGTATTAAGCTAGCAACACTATTCCATAAAAACATACTTGCTACTTTTTTTGAGGTAAAAATCGAAGCGTGATATGACCTCTGGCCTATTTATAATAATGGGCACATCCGGTTTGCCTCTGTTCATAATTTGATTGGTGATCTTCCAGAATTCCCGAAATCCAATTTGTTTCTTTTCATCCTTGGCCTGGACAGATCGTGCGTAGCTGCACTTTGCGTTTTCCAGGATTCTCTAACAATGATTGCGGGCGTTTCTGAAAGAAGCAAGGGCCAGACTACCCAGCTTCTTGCGATAGATCTGTAAGTAGTGGTTCCGGTGAGCTATGGCTGCCGCCCATTCAAGGGTGAACCAGGTTTGACTGTTTGGTTTTTTATGGGGGTTGGTATAAAACACTCCATTACAGAAGGTATCCATTCGGAGGGCAGCAGTTTTTGGTACAGCATGTCTGAAGAAAGTTGGAAGAGGAACTTCCGTATATAAGAGCGAAAGCTCTCCAAGTCTGCCTCCGCGTAGCAAAAAAAAACTTTGCTGTAACTATTCAGTTTAGTGAGACAGGCTTTAATTACGACTGAATAGTGAATTCGACCCTCACTGGGTGGCCCATATTTTCCGCCTTGTGCTACACCTAAGATGCGCCTAGAAGAATATCACCCAATCCCTGTTCCGCCATCTATTTGAACTTGTTATGTAGGTTACTTACTGTTTCTATCTTCTGTCTTGCCTTCATTATGTCATGCGTGTGTCAAATAATCCAATTCTCTATTATGTGTCCTTTGACTTCTAAAATGGGTTTTGTTTATAAATATAAGTGTCCTTTTTTTTTTCATTTTCCTTCCAATGGGTACATTTCATACATTAAACCCGGACACGAAATCACGAAAAGCAATAAATATTGTTAATTTGTTTGAATTTCTTAGATGAGGAATTATCATAATTGCTTACAGTATTATTCAAACTGTTGTTCCCACCTTGACTCTTGCTGTTTACCTAGTAGTTGTGAGTTCAATCCTTGGGTCAGTCAGATGAATCCCACAGATGGATCATAAAAACGAATTAACAAAAGAACGAAATAATAGAATAATTAACAAATAACAATTGTTCCCTGGCAACCAAACGCGAGCAGGCTACACCACCCTCCCAGACCATAGATCGATTAAATAAACGATTCAGTTCGAAATTCCTTGCAAGCTATTCGGTTCGACAGATACCTGAAGAAGGCGTGAGGGCACAACAGCTGAAACGTCGGAATAATGATAACAAAGACCTCAATCCGACTGTAAAACCGTCCTGGATATGACGATAAATTACACCCGCGTCCTGGGTAAGACGATAAACTACGTCCGACAGGAAGGCCTCTGATCAGGTGGATTTTAGGAGCATGGAACCACCTTTTAATTGCTGATGTTCCCAGATTCACACTGACTCGGCGTGGTAGCACCTGTTAGGGTCCCATCTATGGGAAAATAGTTAACACCCCCAAAAGGGGTTAAAACACTATGAATGTATAAAAATAGGTTTTATTACTAGCAATACTTTTTTGGAAAAATTATCAGTAGCAGTACATTTTTGAAAAAGAAAAATATTGCCAGCAATACATTTTTTAAAAAAATATTACCAGTAACATATTTTATAAAAAATTATTGCCAACAATACATTTTTGGGGAAAAAAATTATTACCAGCAATACATTTTTGAAAAGATATTACCATCAATACATTTTTGAAAAAAGAATATTACCAGCGATAAAAATCTTGTCGGCATTAAATAACCCGTTGAGGTTAATATGCCGTAAAACAAAACAAACCAAACCGACTTTAAATAATGACAATGAAGATAGCTATTACTAATTACGGAGAAATGAATTTGCCTCAATTTCTAAGCCGAGAAATTATCATTATTGTGCATTGATATATTCAGTGTACCAAGTTTTATATTTAACGTTGATTAAGTGTCATAATTCAGCTGGTGTTTCCCAGTGGTGCTTTTCATGTCGTCTCTCATTTCAATTCTTCAGATCTCAATACTTCATCATAGACAGCATAAGCGACGGATAATTTCCTTTTCTAATATCGCCTTACATAAGGGTCTGCAGTTGAAGCATCGTTTCTGCAAGAAAACGAAAGACAGACAGTCAGGAGAAATGGCTACGATTTCGCCACGTGCTGCCTTGCCTCACTAAGCAATCCGGGTGCAGTAAAAATGTTGGGCTTTCAAATTTTTACGGCTGTCCTCGTGTCGTTTTGGTGTTATGTGTTAAAGCTTAAACAAAAAAAAATCTACCACTGACAGGATCTAACGAGAGAAAGCAAGATTTGCGAGTTAAAATGTGACAATCAGGAGATTGTGACTAGATCAACATCATGGACTAATGACAAACTCAGTAATACAATGTAGCAAAGTGTAACCGCTGAAGGTCTTCGTATCATGCAGATTACAAAACAGAAAACAACTGAATAACATCTGGTTATATATTCGAGTAGATAAGTGAAGCCACAAATCTTACCGAACCTTATATATACGATGTTTTTCTTTACACATCGACATCTTATCAAACTTAATGACACAACTTAAATAGACTGGTCCACACGTAAAAAATAGGAAAAGTTTTTCGGGGAATAATTTTTGAAGATAAACATTCTTTAGACCTTCCTTAAACCACGAAATTTAACAGAATATTGATTTTTTATCGATTTAGAAAAGCGATTCTGTTCATCATATCGATACAATGTACAATCGATCCTTGACTTTTTACGGAGTTGTTGAGCTTTACATTATTTACTGTTAAGCTGTTATTTACAAATGTCAAGCTTGAACATTTTTTTTTTTTCGAAAAACTTGGGAAATTTTTTTCGGAATCGCATACATTAATATTGAGAAATAATAATTATTTATCTTCAGTGAATAAACGGATATATACTTTTATTAATTGATGTAAATTTTTGTCCTTTAATTAAAAATGTATATAACTGTTCTTTATTTAAAAGAAATCTTTTTGAATCCGTTTTCGGACGTAGAATAACTAAGTTCAATAACTCTCTAAAAATTCAAAGCTCTATTTTGGACTGTATCGATATTATAAATAAGTTACCCTTTCTAAATCGATAAAAAGATTTTTTTTGATTCTAGCAAATGTGGCTTCAACGATGTCTAAGGAATACTAATCTACAACAGTTATTTACCCAAAACGTTTTTTCCTATTTTTCTTACAAGCGGACCAATCTAATTACATAGTGCTAATTTAAGTAGGCATAATAATAGCTGGTAATAATAATAATAATAATAATAATAATAATAATAATAATAATAATAATAAATGCCCTAATACTACACTCTCATATTTTCTGAGTTTCTTATCTATTTTTATTTTTTATTATATCCTTCTTCTTTCCTTCCTTAATTTTTTCTTTCTTTCTTTCTTTCTTTCTTTCTTTCTTTCTTTCTTTCTTTCTTTCTTTCTTTCTTTCTTTCTTATTCTGTTCATCATCTGTACCTTTTCTTTTCTTTCGTTCTCATTCTATTCAATGTCATAACAATTTCCTTTTTCATTCTTTCTTTAATGTTCTAATTCTTATCTATTTCATTCGTTTTTCTTTCTTTCTTTTCTTTCTTTTCTCATTTTATTCAATATCTATATCATTCTTTTTTTTCTTTCCTTCTTTCTTTCTTTTTTCTTTCTTTCTTATTCGAGTGACTGTCTATACCATTCATTTTTCATTCTTTTTTTCTTTCATATTCTATTTATTACCTATAGCATTCATTCATTCATTCTTTCTTTCTTTCATTCATTCATTCTTTCTTTTTCAATCTATTCATATCATCTTCTTTCTTTCTTTCTCATTCTTTTCAATATCTATACCATTCTTTCTTTCTTTTTTAATTCTTTCTTTTTTCTTTCTTTCTCATTTTATTCATTATCTATACTATTATTATTATTAATAATAATAATAATAATAATAATAATGGGCGGTGATTATTGTAATGAAAAAGATGGAGAATAGTTGTTCTTATGTAGATCTTAGCAAATTCAGGATACGATTGTTTCATTCCTTATTAATACTTTCCATCCAAACAAACAGGACGTTTTTAGTTTTTCTTTAAAGTAAATGTTTTCAAGGATAAACTTCTAATTGGAGAGAACCACTAGTGGCAACGACATAAGTGGTCGGCACCCGTTCGCATCCGATCATCGGGATCGTCATCCTCTGTCCTTATTCCCTTTCTTCCCGCCTCCCTGTTGGCGGTGGTTGGGATGGCTGTGAATCAGAGAGAGTTTGACGAGGCCATTCGCATGAATTTGATTTTGGTGGACGGAGACGCCCACACACTCAAACGGGATTGAGACCTGGTTGATATCGGGCTGTCGGATACTTGGTCTTTTCAAGGCCCACATTACTTTACTTTCTTTTTATGTGCCGTGTCCCTTCAGGACGTAGGCGATCATGGCTCTCCACTTCTCTCTTCCCCTTGTAGCTCTCAATTCGTTTAGTCCTTCTGCCACCTCCCCCAGACCACGTTCTCTCATCTACTTGCTTAAGGCCGCTAGGTATATCATGCGTTGCTTTCCCGTCTCTCTTTACCTCTATTCGACCTGTGAGTATCTACCAGGCCCTCCTTTCTCATTACGCGTCCCAGAAATTTTAGCTGCCTCTTCCTGATGTTAAGTATAAGCTTCCTCCTTGTTTGCATCCTCTCCAAAACCTCATCATTGGTCACACGCTCGGTATATGATATCCTTAGCATCCTTCTGTAGAACCATACCTCCGTTGCCTCGAGTCTTCTGCTTCATCTTTGAGGAGACCGTCCAACATACGTCGCCGTAAAAGAGGACAGTTACGCCAACCAAACTGGTTCTCTTCTCCCGGGGGCTGAGGGAAAAGAAGTGAATGATAATTGAACTTTTCGATCTGATACAAGACAGAAAATAACGCCAATAAATGCTGCAGGGTTTATGATATTAAACAAAACCTTTAGAAATAAGAGCCAATTAAAGGTAAAAATATGAACGCTTGAACAGAGAATGTGAAGTGATTGAAAAACTGCAGAATACAGATGCAGCAGGTATGCTTAAAAGTTCAAAGGAATAGCAGAATTTTTTTTAAAAAAAGCGCTTCGGTAGGATGTATAAAATATAAAAGTGAAAGATTCATAATAGAAAAGAAAAGGTACTACAGAGATAAAATAAATAAATATATAAGAGATCTTCTACGACAACAGAAGCAAAAACACACGCAAAATGAATGTCAGAACTGTAGTATTAAAATAGCGTTTAGATCAACATTGGCCAAAATGAAAGGGCCCAATAGAAGACTTGATGAGACTCTAATAGAAATGTGTCACTCATTTGGAGGTTAGCATCAGCCATGCTTATGGAAGGCAGTAGGGTTCTCACAGCTGATTAAAAGACAGCAGTTTTAGAAACACATTGTCCTTTCTCGGACTAACGATTTCCGCTCTGACATGAAGTGGAAAGATTACATTAATTCAATTGCCAAGTGTGCTGCTCGGAAATTTGATTCACTGTGTCGATCTAGACAACTTTTCGCGCCAGAAACAATCTTCCATATTTATAAATCTACTAATCGTCTGTGCATTGAATATTGCTGTCACGTCTGGTCTGTTTCTTTTGTTATAACTTTAAGGATTCTTGACAAAAAAAGAATAATCTGCAATGCTATCAGCCCTGACCTGCCATCTCGGCTTCAGTCACTTTCACACCGCCGTAACAGTGTTTCCCTGAGACTTTTCTATAAATATTTTCATTGTAATTTTTCTGACAGCCTTTCCTTTTTCGTACCTCGATTTTATGCATTCAAGCGCAGTACTAGATTGGCAGCTAGGTCTTATCATTTTAGTGTTGAAATGGCTAGATGTAACCGCAAGTTCTATGCTTACAGTTTCTTTTATTTTTCCTCTTAATTCTTGTTCTTTTAGTGTTTGCTATTCTTAATAGTGATTTTTTTTCTCATATTCTCTAACACCCAGTAACTCACTTCCATCTTAGTGGCTTTATTGCCTTGTTTGGAGTCAAATGATAAAAAATATTGAGGCACGGTTTGATGGCGAGAAACTAAAACTGCGGATAAAGTGGAATACCATTTACTTTTACCACGGAAACAGGTATTATTTGCGTAAGCTGGTTAACTCGTAAAAATAGGTAAAACGTTTTTGGAAATAATTTTAATAGATTATTTTTTTTAATTGATTAGATTTATTAGAATCGAAAAATATTTTTTATCATTTTGGAAGGAGCGCTTCTGTTCATAATAACGGTACAGTGTATAATCGTACAAATGATAGATATGGTCACTAGTTAAGGACTTCATAGTGAAATTGTGATATTATGGTATTTGTAGAGAATGGTACCAATGTTTTGGTCCAAGTCATATTATCGAATGAGTCAGTGATTGTAACGAAACGATAAGATTGAAGTTGACCTCCCCCCACCATATCCCAAGTTTTAACATTGTACCACATTTGATGTATTATCCTAAATAAATATTCTTGGAAATATTGCAGCTGATGATATGGACGATAACATCTGAATACAGATCAACTGTTATCAACAATATACAAGTATTGCCATTGAAATATAAGTGACTACAATTTTCCGATATAACATTTGGCGACGTGAAATTCCTTCTGCAGTTCCAGTAATTTAGAGACTGATGCAGGATAGATTGTTTTGAACTCCCCTGTTGAAAAAAAAACTACATAGCTAGATAGTACTGGCCAATGTAACGTCGTTTAGACGCGGTTATTCAGACGTATAGTAGCTACAAATTATTAAGAAAGACAATATTTCTCATTTCGGTTGAAACAAGAACTTTAAAAAAAGCAACAATGACGACGAGATCGTTAGGATATTTAGGTTTTGGATTTGTGATTAGTTTATGTTGTTATGTTTATTTGCTTTTTTTATTTTTTTATTTGAAAACTTTTTGCGAAAAACGATTTGCGCGGTATGTGATTTTTAAGGAAATCTTTTTCTTTTCATTTGTTTTTGTTTTTTTACAAAAATAAATCAGGTCAAAAGTTTAAAATGGTAATAAACATTCCTGTCGAATTGTAAGTGTATAAAAACTCTCAAAAATAAATCCTTTGCAGTAAAATCCAAGAATTTTTATGAAGTAGACAAATAGATAGATAGATAGATAGATAGATAGATAGATAGATAGATAGATAGATAGGAACAGAAAGAAAGAAAGAAAGAAAGAAAGAAAGAAAGAAAGAAAGAAAGAAAGAAAGAAAGAGACTGAGATAGATAGATAGATAGATAGATAGATAGGAACAGGCAGAAAGAAAGAAAGAAAGAAAGAAAGACTGAGATAGATAGATAGATAGATAGATAGATAGATAGATAGATAGATAGATAGATAGATAGATAACAGAAAGGAACAGAAAGAAAGAAAGAAAGAAAAAGAAAGAAAGAAAGAAAAAAATAAAGAAAGAAAGAAAGACTGAGATAGATAGATAGATAGATAGATAGATAGATAGATAGATGATAGATAGGAACAGAAAGAAAAAGAAAAGAAAAGAAAGAAAAAAGAAAGAAAAGAAAGAAAGAGACTGAGATAGATAGATAGATAGATAGATAGATAGATAGATAGATAGAAAGAAAGAAAGAAAGAAAGAAAGAAAGAAAGAAAGAGACTGAGATAGATAGATAGATAGATAGATAGATAGATAGATAGATAGATAGATAATGTGGACATTGAAATCAACACTGCCTAGTAACTTTCGAATTATCGCGCTATTTATCTCTTATCTCCTTTTGGCAAAGTTTTAGGGGTTCAACGCCGAATTGATTCAGCGTCTCACTTCACATGACCCCCTTTCGGATAAACAATATGGCTTCCGTTTCTCCAGGTCTACCGACGATGTTAACGGCCATAACTGAATTTGTCTATCAAGGTTTAGATAAGAACAACGAAGCTCGGACTGTGTTCTTAAATATCTCAAAGGTACGCTGGCCTTCCCCACAATCTCAAGAGCTACGGTGTCGCTGAACGAATATTTGGCGCTATCCAATTCTTCCTGAAAAGAAATCGTAAAATGAAGGTTGTGTTGAACGGACACGCTTCTAATTCATTCCATATTAATGTAGTTGTCACCCATGGCTTTGTCCTTAAAACTACGCTCTTTTTTTTATCTTCATTAACGACCTCCTCAATGTCATTAATTCCGAAATAGATATCTATGCAGATCACACAACTATTTATTCCAGTCTTAGTAGCAAATCCGACATATCTGACAAAGTGAAACTGGCAATTACTTTCGAAAAAGGATTTCCAATCAGTTGTTAATTGGAGCAAGGAATGGCATGTAAATTTATAAGCCTCCAAAACAAAACTTATTTTATTTAATCACCAGGAAGAAAGTTTTATTTCTACCATTAGAGAATGGCTGATGATAAAATCCAGAAGAGCAAAACTTTTTGTTTTCTTTGGTTCAGTTTCCATTGACATGAAGTGGGAAGTGATTGAATCAGTTTCTAGTTCTGTCTATATTTCTGAGATGAGGTATTATGTATATTATTTAAATTATTCGGACTATTGTCCTCATCTTTGTCACGATATTTATTAAAACGTTTCGGCCGTTGTACGCTCCGGCTATCTTCAGGGGGTTGGAATGTCGAACTGAAACCTTTATTTTGCTCACTGGGGTAGACTGTTCTAGTTCTAGTGCCATGTTTAATGGATGTCAGTTATCAGTTCTCCTGTTAAGGCAGTAGGAAACTTTCAGAGAAAAATTAACAGGAGACAACTGATGTTTCATTGGAAAAGTACGGAAAAAGGTAGATAATAACGGAATTATTCGTTTTGTTTCAGTTAATTTTCACAAGGGTGTATTTATCAAAATTAGCGGACGTACCCAAGCGCTCAAAATTAAGTGGCCTTTTTTCATTTAAAACAGTCAGTTCAGTAATAGTCACGCTGAATATTTATGTGCGTATTTTCTTGGCTTTTTCATTTTCAAAATAATTACAAAAAATCTTTCTAAAATCATCAGATTCAAGATTAGAGTTATTCTGTGGCCAGAGTATTTGAAGCTTAAAAATGATTTGCGTTTTTTACACATCATTAAAAACTATTTGTGATTGTTTTTTTTGTTTGTTTTTTTTTTGTTTTTGTTTTTTTCATCTATTTCTATCTGTTGGCCAATCTTTGCACGCCTATAACTGCAAAAAAATTACAGATGTGCAAACGTAGAAAGGATTTAAAATATATTTCGCAATATTATATTTTTTAATCACCATCCACTGAAATTGGATATTTCCCCTTTTTCTTCTTTGTTCTTCAGATTTTATTCGTCTATTTTTAGTGATATATTTACATTGGCAAGTTGTCATCTGTCAGAAAAAGGCGATAGCATGAATAAGATCAGAGAAAAACCGGAAGTGAAAAGTTAGGTGGGGGGGATTTTGCTCAGGTGAATTCCGTGATTTTGACAGTGGAAATTCTAATCTTATCATAAATAACAGCGGTTTCGAATCATCTGATCTTTCAAAATGTCCTCCTTTTATTTCTGCTACTTCTTATTTTCTTTTTTGAGTTAGGCGGCCATCAGTCGAGAAGTCCGCTGAAAGAAAAGAACATCACATCACATTGAATCAAATTTTATGCTGTTCTTTAGTCGTCTATATATATATATATATATATATATATATATATATGAAGTATAAGAAATAATCGATCTTAGCTGAGGTTGTAAGGCCAGCTTGTGATTGAAGAAGCAGAATGCGGAGACAGAGAGAGAGAGAGAGAGAGACAGTGGGTGAGTGGGATTCGGTACTTAATGAGAGAAAATGCAAATGAAGAAAGGAAAAATTAAGAGAAATGAACGGCGAAATATCTAAAGGAACAACGGTATAGATAATGAGTAGAATGAGAAAGAAAGAAAGAAAGAAAGAAAGAAAGAAAGAAAGAAAGAAAGAAAGAAAGAAAGACACAAACAAACAAACAAACAAAGATAGATAGAAAAAACGAATGGCATAGGAAAAAAGAATATGAAAGAAAGAAAAAGAATGCAAAAGGAATGGTTAAAACATTGAAAAGAAAGAAAGAAAGAAAGAAAGATGAAGTTTTAGATAATTAACAGAATGAGAAAGAAATAAAAAAGAATCGTTTCGATAATGAATACAATAAGAAAGAAAGAATGAAAGAATTAAAGAAAGACAGAAAGAATGGTATAAATATTGAATAGAATGAGAAAAAAAGAAAGAAAGAATGAATTAAAGAAAGAAAGAAAGAAAGAATGGTATAGATTTTGAATAGAATGAGAAAAAGAAAAAGATGATATAGATAATGAATATATTGAAAAAGAAAGAAAGAAAGAAACAATGAATGAATGAATGTTATAGGTTTTAAATAGAATATGTAAGAATCGAAATAGAATGAAAAATGAGTGGTATAGATATTCACTTGAATAGGAAAGAAAAAAGAAAGAAAGAAGGAAAGAAAAAGAATGATATAGATATTCAATAGAATGAGAAAAGAAAGAAAAAAGAAAAACGAATGAAATAGATAAGAATTACAATATGAAAAAAAGAATGAAAAATGAAATTGTTATGACATTGAATAGAATGAGAACGAAAGAAAAGAAAAGGTACAGATGATGAACAGAATAAGAAAGAAAGAAAGAAAGAAAGAAAGAAAGAAAGAAAGAAAGAAAGAAAGAAAGAAGAATATGGATTGAAACAAAAAATAAAAGAAAGGATGCTATAGATAATGAAAAGATATGTAAAAAAAAATAATGAACGATAATGAAAGAAAGAAAGAAAAAGAATGATATAGATAATGAATAGAACGGGAAAGAAAGAAAGAAAGAAAGAAAGAAAGAAAGAAAGAAATTGAAAGAAAAAAGAAAGAAAGAAAGAAAAAAGTAAGAAATTGAAAGAAAAAAGAAAGAAAAAAAGAAAGTAAGAAATTGAAAGAAAAAAGAAATAAGAAATAATAGTATATATAATGAATTGAATTTGAAAAAATTAAAGTAAAAGAAAAAATGAAAAAGAAAGAAAAAGAAAGAATGATATAGTAATGAATATAACAAGAGCGAAAGAAAAGAAACAAATAAACAATCACAAAAGTGATATTCTTCGTACCGTGTCCCTTCAGGACGTTGGCGATCATGGCTCTACACAATCGCCGGTCTGTTGTAGCTCTTAATAAATAATTTGTCTTTTTGTTATCTCTCCTAAACCCTGTTCGGCTATCCATTTACACAAGTTCATTAGTTAGGTTATGTAAATTTTGGACTTTCTGGATTTGGCAATCTCCAATTTATAATTTGCAAGTTGAGTTTTTGCTTTTATTGACAACCGTGAACTCTGTCTCCCTGTGATCGATGCTTAGTCCTTTCTTCTCACTTTACTTCACTACCTTCTGTGGGAATTCTTGCAGTTTCCTTTCTGTGTCTGCTATCAACACTGTCATCTGCATATTTTATGCCGCTAAGATTTTGGTCGCCAATGATGAATCCTAATAGGACTTCTAATTTGAATAAGTTTGTTTAGAAGACATATCCTTTTCTTAGGTTCCTTTCTATTTTTGTAGATTTACTGAATTCATTTTCTATCCATATTCAGATGGTTTGCTACCAGTATAGGTTCTGGTTTATTCTAATATCCTTAGCAAATATATCAAGATTACCTTGCAGTTCCAATTTTGAATAATCTTAGCAGAAGCTACGAACAGAGAAGATGGAACTGAAGTAGAAAACACACAGAGAAATGCATATACATTGATAGAATTTTATAATAAACAATATATCTTGTGACATGAAAGGCAGAAATTTAAATTTACCCTAAAAAATCTACCTGTGCCTTACATTGACACACATGTTTCGGTTTCAGCTTAGAATGTGTAAATTTCTTTCAGAGGTCTTTGAGGAAATCTTCAGAATTGGGATAAGTGCTTATTCCTTATCAGTGTTCTTCCTGTAGAACTTTGATCCCTATTCATTTTTGAAAGATCTTTTATTAGAATTTTAGTTCCTTCTCAGTAAACAGCACAGAACAGAAACAAAGAATACGCTAATGGAAATCGCATTGTTTTTCTTTGAAAAACCAAAATTATCAATTCCAGCTGGGATGTCCATTAGGCTAAAGGAATCAATGACTAGCAGAAGAACAAAACTAACCATTTTAACATTTTTTTTACCTACATTATTTTCTAGGTACCACCACGGATTTCCTAAAAGTAATCGGAAAACACATCTATTTTGATAGGAACTATTATTTACTTAGTAGCAGTAATATTATAGACACAGCTCTTTATTATTGTGTTAAATAAAACATAGAGGCAAATCATTTGATTTTTTACATCAAAGTAATGTTACTATTATTAACACAATTTGGATTTTCATCGCTTATATTTAAAAGAAAAAAACGATCTACTTACTTAAGCGAGAGAATATTTTTCTACCCACTAAGGGAACTCCAAAAAAATGGTAATAAATGAAAAGAGGGAAGAAAACACTATCAATTGTATGAAGATAGAATGTAAAAGTCTTTAGCAAGTGGGAAGAATCCAAGCTACGAATTGGTGACGACAGAATCATGCAAGTACGTAAATTTAACTCTCTGGGAAATGTTTGACCAGACGAGAGAAGACGAGAGAAAACGTGGCACCGAAGTTCAAAGGCACATTGCAATAGCAAAAGATACCTTCTAAAAGCGAAACAAAGTACTAAGAAACAGGAAAATTTCACTAGAAACAAAGAAAAGTGTGATGAACTGCTGGGCAATATCAACCCTCGTATATGACAGCTACAAAGAATAGGAAGTTGTGGAGAGCCATGACCACCTATATCCTAAAGGAACACGGCACTTGAAAGAAAAATAAATTAATATTTGATTTCTATCATAGTCATCTATGTAGATTAAACAGCGAGAATAAATGCTTTTATCAAAATAGTCAATAAACTTCGTTCCGCACAACATTTAGTAGACTTGAGAAATCGACTTCCCTAAAAATATATTTTAAGAGAAAGTTTTAATAAATACCAACTGACATTAATCTTTAACTGCTTAGTCGATGAATGTCGTGTATTTCCTTATAAACGGCATAATAATAAATTATCATCTCATCATAACCATTTCCATAATAGCTTGTTACCGCGACAAATGTGGCTACTAAATATCAAAATGTAATCTTGATATCAAAGCAGAAGGTTAAACTTGTAGCCATACTGGGTGCCACATTAAACTGTCCTTGTACCGTACTATGCTATCTCAGATCGTAAATAGATATCTATGGAGATGATACCGCAGTCTATCGATGAACCTCCAACAATCTAAATGACTAAATCCTGGCAGTTGTGAACTAACTTTAAGAAACCAATGGGAGGAGAACCTGCTCGTAACATTCAGGACTACAAAAAAACAAAGCTAGTAACATTTCTTAACCACCGAAGTGACAAGACGAATGGTTGCACTATAAATATTTCAATAGTTCACCTTTTATTACACGTCTATTGTTACTCAAGCTCATCCGAGGCATTAAGTAGAACTCGGATATACGATCCATCTCTAAAGATGCTGGAAACATGGTCGACTACTTATACGGCTCAAGAAAGTACCTAACTATATCTGCCATGCTCTACCGTAATAAGAATCGAATCCAACCCCAAATGCAGTATTGTTGCCATATCTGGCGTGTCGCGGGCCAGTCGTCTCTTTCCATCCTCGACACAGTTCAAAGGCGTAGACGAGGCCTTGGCGGCGATGATAGTTGTTTTTTTTTCAATCCTTCAACACCATTTTTCATAGACGCAGCATCGCAAGCTCCTCGCTACTCTATCTCTATTTCCTTAGAAAATGTTTTGACGATCTACATGCCCTTGTTTCACCAGTTCAGATCTTTACAGCTAAGAATAGTCATGTCATTTAGGCAGAGTCGAATCAATCTCATTCCCTTCGTAATTCCACTGTGCCAGTCATCTATGAGCAGATTTTTTAAAAGCAAATGTGGTGAATCCCAGACTCGTGTTTTTCCTTTAGCGACAACACTTGTGATTGGCTTCTTTTATGTTGGATATTATCGGCCGGATGTCATGCTCGGAGCCGCTGTGCAGGGAACGAATTTTTATTTGGGGTTTTGCCTTCTTATCTTTCACATCAGGGCGACATGTAGAGTGAATTAGAAAGAGATCATTGTTAGAGCGGTGTATAACAAATATCATATAGAACGTTCATATTCATAATGAGAAATATACTTTTATTTTTTCTCAGCTCTAATTTTAAATTTAATTTTTTAGAAATTGAACTTTTGAAAGATTTACTAAGTTTCCAAAGTTTGTAACAAGGCCTTAATAACGGGGAGCAAAAAGAAGATAAAGCTCAACAGTCAGGAGAATCAAATTTCAAAACAGCCTCAACAGAGATCAAAGGACTTCACGCAACCTTGTCGGCGACGATATTATTTTCCATCCTACAAAACCCTTTTCACAGACGCAACATTGCAAGCCTCTCGCTTACTCTATCGCTATTTCCTTAGTAAATGTTCTGACGATCTACACACCTTTGTTTCACTAGTTCAGACCTTTACAGCTAAGACGCGTCATGCCATTTAGGCAGAGTCGAATCAATCTCATTCCCTTCGTATTTCTGTGTCAGTCATCTATGAGCGGATTTCTCAAAAGCGAATGTGGTGACTCCCAGACTCATGTTTTTCCTTTAGCGACAACGCTCGTGATTGGCTTTTTTATGTTGCATTTTATTTTATTAGGGAATTTGTTTTATGGGTCGGATGTGATTCGTGGAGCCGCTATGCATGGAACGACTTTTTATTTTGGGTTTTGCTTTCTTAGCTCTCATATCCGGCCGACATGTAGCGTGAATCAAAAAGAGATATTTGCAGCGGTGTATGCAAGCCTTTCGCTACTCTATCGCTATTCCCTTAGTAACTGTTAAGACGATCTACACACTCTTGTTTCACCAGTTCAAACCTTTACACCTAAGACTAGTCATGCTTTTTAGGCAGTCTTTTTGTATTCCATTGGTAAGGAGGGAGTTCCATTTGAACAGCTTCTTTCCTAGGCCCACTGCTTTATAGAACATATACTCGAGGGGACACTTCTTCGTCTATTACAATCTTAACATCTTTAAGTCCAGTGCCAACCGTTACCTATCCTAAATATACGCATAATCTGTCATTCTGACACCCTTAAAGCAACTCCATTCAGTAATACTCTACCATAAGTGGCTCTTTCGCCTTGTATTGGGGGAACAACAGCGTAACAAATACTGAGCATAATAAATATCTATAAGAACATATATTGTTGCACATTTTGTCCAATAAAACCCAGTGACTTCCTTTTTTATAGTTAGCGAAGTTAGCAATTTCACTGATATCGTGAGACAAAAATATTTCTGAAGAAATGTTCGCGCAGTAATTATCAAGCAAGTCGATATACCTCCTCCACACCAATAAAAACTATTACTACTAATAATAAGAAGAAGAAAGAAAGAAAGAAAGAAAGAAAGAAAGAAAGAAAGAAAGGAAAAATCATTGCTGAAAAGAAAATATCTTGTTTCCTCCTCTGCGAGAGAGAGAAAAGAATAGACAATTCAAACTCTGTCTTTTCGTCGGTGTGTGTCTATATATTCAATAAAAAGTATAATATTGGCCTCCTTTATAGGAATCGCTGAAATGTGATTTTGATTGACAACAAAGATATATATATATATATATATATATATATATATATATATATATATATATATATATATATATATTATATATATATTGATACCACAAACTGACGTCAGTTGCTGATTAAATTCTTATACGCCCTCACAAGTGAACGGAGTGATTCCCACAGTGTCCGTGTACGAAGCTCTGGAGTTAAGATGCTGAAGGTAATCTCAATTTGTAAGTAAAAACCTTTTACCTGCATTAATCCCTCTCTCTCTCTCTCTCTCTCTCTCTCACACACACTCTCTCTTTATATATATATATATATATATATATATATGCAGTCGTCAGGCCTGACGATTGCATACATGAAACAGACTGTCGTTTCATCTATATGTTGTCGTCATGTTCACGATTTTATATTTACACACGCTCTATCTCTGATATTGAGCACTTTATCCCATAAATATAGCACACCTTAAGACTATATTTCTTTATATATATATATATATATATATATATATATATATATATATATATATATATGGTATAGGTAATAGATCAGTTGGTATATAATCCAGGTGGATCCTAGTAATAACAAATATTAAAACTAATCCACAGAGAGCTCAATATATTTATTATAACAGAGCATAGGTATTTTTTACAGCAAAAAATAAATTTACCTCAATATGAGTATAGTCTATTTCATGCTGGTCTGAACCCAGCTGTCTTCAGCTCTTAAGTGTTTGTCTGGAAGTAGGGATTTGGATTTTTCAATGTCAGTTCTCTTCCGAGAGACGCCTTGTTTATGATAAGGAGGTTTGTGTTGGTGACTAGGGGAGGGCGTGAGGTAACTCATTACGGGGGAAGTGGTCTGGGGTTTGAGTTTATTTATGGCTAGACCCTTTCCTTGTCTGTAAGTAAATCTCGCTATGGGGTGCTCCGTATACTAGTATTTCTTTTTTCCTGGGATTTACAGTAAACAGTATTTAGACCATAAGGGTTTAAAGTACCTGACTATATCTGCCATGCTCTACGTAATAAGAATCGAATCCGGCCCCAAATGCAGTATTGTTGCCATATCTGGCGTGTCGCGGGCCAGTCGTCTCTTTAATGTTATTTATAAGTTATAGAATATTTAACCTTAAGACCAATTAAATTTAGGTAAATTAGTTGAATGATAGATTCATAAATTGTGGGTAATACCGGGACACCTAATGGAATATATCAGGCTATCCAACACATATACATATACATATATCCACATACACGTGTCTGTGCTTTTGCATATACATGCATATTTGTAAGTAACCATACGCACATCCACTATATATATATATATATATATATATATATATATATATATCCAAGTATAGGTATGGTGTATACGGAATAAATTCTAATAACCAACAAATACTATTCTTAAAAGAGTTCTCAATACAGAGTAGAGCAAATATTATCATTTATTCGAAAAATTATAAATATGTTATAAAATCACTACAAAAGTAGCTTTTAAAACCCTTTCATATACATACATTCATTCATATATATATATATATATATATATATATATATATATATATATATATATATATATATATATATATATATATATATATATATATATATATATATATATATATATATCCATGTTATATATATATATATATATATATATATTCATATATATATATATATATATATATATATATATATACATATGCATTTGTGTGTGTTGTGTGTCCCATTTTCCACTGTTTTTGTGACGATGGTAGCCCAATACCTTAAATGAACTATTAAAGACAAAACAGAGATCTACCTGAAGTGCGATAATTTCAAATCCAGCTGATGGTAATGAAAACTTTCTGTCCGCAACATCTGATAAAAATATTTATAACCAATATATCAAATTTCAACACACTTTCATTACTCACGGGTTTGGCACGCATTCCAGCCTGAAGGTACCAACTATAAAGAGGCGAAACGTGTAGTCTGAATAGAGTTTCCATTTTGTCTCATTATTTCCACTCTTGTTCGGATATTACTCTACATCTGACTAACACCCACAGATAGATAGATAGATAGATAGATAGATAGATAGATAGATATGAACGTAGATAGATAGATATAGTTATTGCTTATACAATTATATCTTTGGTAAAAATATGTGTCAAAATCGATTTTTTTCAAAAAGCAAGGAAATATGTCTAAAATTGTCGAACGTGGCATTTTCATCAACTGGAGTCTTTGTCAATTATTTAAATCTAATTGTCTTCAGCCAAAACGTAATCTAACATTTTGAGGTTTCTGTAAGTAGGGAAGCACAATGAAACGCAAAATCTAACTTCGTTTTGGAAGCAAAAAAGATGAAAACTGAAGCAAATTTTACGGTAAAGAGATTTTTTTTTAATTTTCGGACGGAATCACAGAAATGGACATTTTTCTTTTCGTATGCGCATCCAATTATGACAAAGGCTTTCCAAGTTCTTCAATTAGTGAAGTAATTGAATATTTTGGAATTAATACATGAGCTGTTTATGGCATCCAATGTCCAATAGAATGGTGTGTTGTATATTAAATAAAAAAATGTGTATATCCCAAAAATATCGGTAAAGTTAAAAGTAAATATAGTCAGACAAACATACACATACACGCGCACAGACACACATGCATACTAGTTGCTACCCAAAAATTCACAGAACTTCTATGAACATGAAGAAAATTACTTATTGAATTCTTCAAAGTATGAAAGTAGATGCATATTTATGCATGTTTTTATATATATATATATATATATATATATATATAATTTTAGTGTATACATATGTCTGTTTAGAAGCCTTGTTTTAATTAAAAATATAATTCATTAATAATAGTATATATATATATATATATATATATATATATATATAATAATATATATATATATATATATATATATATATATATATATATGAGGGAGATATATATATATATATATATATATATATATATATATATATATATAGGCTGTTGCATGCTGGACTCAATTATTGCGTCTAGCATGAAACAGCCTGTCGCCTCTGAGTGTTGACTTCAATGTTCACTTTTATATATATATTTACATATGCTCTATCTCTGATATTGAGCACTTTATCCCATAAATATAGCACACGTTAAGTCTATATTTCTACTTATATATATATATATATATATATATATATATATATATATATATATATATATATATATGCTCATATAGGTGCGTCTGCATAAATTATTTCATTTATTGATAATTCTCATTTCAGCCATTTGCTCGTTAACCAGACATCGCATATCGGTTGCAGGAGACCGGGCTGCTGGTTTCTTCGCCGGTCGAAGTCATCGCTATTGACAGAATTGCCTTGGTGTCAGTGTAGATGTCCTGGGCAGTCGTATAATCTTCCGCGGTTGGTTAAGCTTTCTTGCTGTGGACTTCATCGCTATTGCTAGCCAAGTCGAATTTTAATGAGAGTCTTTCTTTGCGTGGTAAACTGAACGATAGTTTTGACTTGACAAGAAAGTGGATATTAGGACTTATACTAAGTTAAAACAATATAAACCTGCATTTTAATTTGCTTCATTTAGCTGTGTGTCCATATATATATATATATATATATATATATATATATTACCTTTGTATTTAGGCAGCAATCCTTCATTTATACATGTTTCAATAAAAACGACATACAAAACACTACGATTAAGCTTTTTATTTAATTTTTAATTGTGTCCGAACAAGTGTTTTCATTTTTGGACACAGAATGTATAGAAACTGTCAAAATGTTCTCTAATTCTGAGCGCTTTAAACATTTCGTCATTATCAAGGATGATTTTATTTATTCAGTTTAATTGGATGTGTGCGTTATGTGTATTATTGTGGTCATGTTTGTACTTATGTGTTGGCTTTTTTCTTTTTTTACTATTAAGGCTTCCGTTATTTCTAATCTTTTTACAGGTGGATGAGGTCATTATGTTTGTATTTTCTACTGGCATGTTTCGTATGAAATCTGGTAAGTTTGTGTGTGTGTTTAACGGTCGCGGAATAGTCACAACACAATACATTGCCTGAACGCTTGGAATTCGAAGAGAGAAGACGGGTTTTTCAAACATCTGCTGATTTCAACGGATTTTTAAGAATATAAAAATGTCTGATTAAATATTAAGTAAGGTAAATACGAATTTGAATAGTAAATGGAATAATCATTATTGAATTAATAGTTGGAAACTTTAAACATTATTGTAAAGGATTTGTAATTCAAGACAGTATTTTTTCGAAGATTTGATTTCAAGTGAAAAAAATGAAATTAATGTCAAGCGGAGATTACAAGAATTAAGAGAAAAATGTTTTACATTAATTTTAGGAAAAAGAAGGGAAGAAAAAATGTCTTCCTTCTTCTTTGCTGGAATGTGATCGTTGCTTTTCTTGTGACAGCATTAATAAGCGTATAAGAATCAGAAGTTGTTCAAATTGTCAACGGTCTTTTCATTTATCTTGCGTGGGATTGACTAGAAATGCTTTAGCGTCTCTGGTTGTTTGGCGTTGTTCACATTGTCTGTCTGTCTCTATCAATCTATCGAGCTAGCTAGCTAGCTATCTCTCGGCTCTACAAGATATTGTGAGCCATCAACGTAATGAACCAACCCAAACAGATGCCAGTGAAGTTTTGAGGGCAACCTCACTCTTCAGGCAATTCCGGAAGGTACCTTTAAAAATCCCTAAATCTTTCAGAATCCCGGCAGCCGATGCCTGGGCTACTGCCATAGACCAGGCACTTAACTGGAACAGCTCGCTTGACTGGGATCACCTTTTCTCTTTCGCAACACTTGTGCTCGGCATTCCTTACAATAAGGACCCTACATCATCTGCCTCATCTGTTATGAAAAATAACATTTAATTCGTCTTCAATTCAATTATTCAATTCGTCTAAAATAAATGCCACCGAATTTTCTAATCATTCTAATCCTAATAGATTTCATCTTTCATCTACAGTCGACGATTCTAAGAGACTCCGTACCCTCGTCAATGATAAGTTGATCGAGGGTGATGTCTCAGTTGCAGTTAGAGTATTGACCTCATCCGATACTATACTAGCTACTACATCAGAAGTTCTCACAGCGCCTCCGTCGAAAACATCCTGTGCCACCATCAGATGTCAGATTTGTTCAAATGGAAAACAATGATTCAAATATTGAAATCTCAAAGGAAGCAATCGTTGCCGTTCTGAAGTCTTTCTCGGGAAACAGCAGGGAAGGTGTGGACGGCCTTCGACCTGGTCACTTCAAGGACTTAATTTCTGCCCACACTGCCGAAGCTGGTGAACATTTGAAAAGATCCATAACTGCTCTTATTAATACCCTTCTCCGAGCTGAGATACCCCAACATGCTCGCGACAATATTTTCAGCCAACTTAACGGCTTTTAAAAAAATAGATGGAAGTATCCGCCCTATCGCTGTTGGTAACATTTTTCGTCGTCTCACGGCAAAAATTGCTTGTAGAGTTGTTGTGAAGGAGATAGAGCATAAATTGCGACCTGTCCAGCTCGAGGTAGCCATACAGGACGGATGTGAAGCCACAGTTCATGTCACAAGATCATTTTTCGAGAATACATCACCTGTTTCCCCCACCCCCGTATCTTATTAAAATTGAATTTGAAAAACGCTTTCAATAGCATCAGAAAGGATCATGCCCTGGAAGTTTACCATCAATGGACTCCTTCCATATTTAAAATGGCTCATCTTTCATATAGCCATCCAAGTATGTTGATCGCCTCCGATAATATTATCTCTTCTGCTACCGGAATCAAGCAAGGTGACCCACTTGGTCCGCTACTATTTGCTATGGCTATTGACGGGGTAGCTCGTTCCATCTCTCCTCCTTTCAATATATGGTTGACGATGCAATTCTAGGTGGACCCGTAGAGGCCGTAGCTGCTGACCTCTGACGAGTTATTCCTGTTTTATTTCTGCTTGGACTTGAGATTAACTCGTCCAAGTCAGAGATAATAAACTTGAATTATAGTGCAGGTGATTTCGAGAGAGCTTTTCGGGATATTAGACTCATCTTTGAGGATATAAAAATAACAGGAGGAATTACACATTCTTGGTTCTCCAGTCTTTCCAACGGCCATTCGAGAGTGTTTGGATACTAACCATGTCATTCTAATAAGAATGATTGAGAAATTGCAGTTAATTGATGCACACTCAGCCCTCTTCCTCTTGAAGAACAGTTTTTCGCTACCAAGGTTCCTCTATATTTTTCGAAGTGCCTTTTGCTACCTTGAAGAGAATATCTTAAATGAGATAGTTATCACAATTAAAATATGCGCGGAGTTAATTTGCAACGTTAATTTCGACGACACAGGCTGGAGGCAGGCAAAGCTCCCTTTGAGTTTCGTAGGCCTGGGCCTTCGGTCAGCGGCAGACTTGACCCTTCCAGCATATCTTTCTTCACTTTTTTCAAGTCGCGAATTAATTGATGAGATACTCGGTGGATCGTCTCAGTGTTTCTCGGGTAGTTCTTTTGAACAAGCTTGCAGCGTCTGGGCCCAAGAATTACTTTCTATTCCACTAGATATATCAAAACAAAAAAACTGGGATAAAATAAAATGCGAGGCCAATTTTACTAATTTGAGGCTCTCTCTGGATCAGCATGACCTCGCCTGTCTACTATCTGCTTCACAACCGAGCAGTGGCGCCTGGCTCAACGCAGTGCCCTCTTCATCTACCGGTACCCTTCTAGATGATGAGTGCACTCAGAGTCGCAATTCGTCTTGGACTCAAATTATGTGAGCGTCACAAATGCAAATGTGGAGCTTGGTTTGCATCCTCTCCTGTCGTTGTAGCGCCGGCCGCTTTCCACGACATTCAGCAATAAACGACATCATCAAAAGAGATTTGGATGCAGCTGGGTTCCCTTTCTCAAATCGAACCCGTAGGTCTCCACCGTGGTGATCGAAAGCGGCCGGATGGCATTACTATTTTCCCTTTTAAAAAAAGTCGTTGATTTCGGATGCGACTTGTGCGGATACATTTTCAACCGGTAATTTGATTAGGTCTGCGGTTGAACCGGGGTCTGTCGCCCGGGACGCTGTGATAAACAAAAAAAAATAGTTAAATATTCTTCTCTTGCTGATAGATTTTTTTTTACTCCTGTGATAGTGGAGACTTCTGGAGTTTATTGACCCTCGTTCGATGGCGTTCCTTCAGA